CACAACTTGTCCTGACACAAGCGTCACACACAGCTCAGGGCACTATATGATGTTGCATTGAAAACAAATGCAGCCTAACTTACAATAAGGCAAAAGAGTAACAAGATCACATAGAAAGAGCTCGCTCGCTCTGTTTCCCTCTTTCTATCACACTACCTTCCAGATAAATATATATAGATATATATATTTAAAAAGTGAGAAACATGAATGACCAGCCACTTTACTCCCATGTCTTTATCAAACATTCATTAGGCTGTTGCTCTGAGCCAGGTCTTTCTGCCGGACAGTGGATAAAGCCATGAATCATACTCTTGTTCTTACATTCTACTAGGGAGAGACAGGTGTCTTAACTTCTTAGGGCTACAGCTACAAATCGTTGCAAACTGGGTGGCTTAACACGTGGGGAGCATTGCTCTGGAGACAAGATGTTCACAGAGTTCTGTAGGCAAAAAGTTTAAAGTTAAGGTGCTCCCCAAAGGGCTCTGCTTCTGGAGTCCCTAGAGAGGAAGCTGCTTTTTCCCCTCTTCCTGTATTGGAGCAGGCTGCCTTCCTTGACTTATGGCCACATCATTCCAACCTCCATGTTCTTCTTGGATCCATTAGTTCCTCCTCTTCTGCCATGCTGTCTTGTTTCACCTCTTTTTTTTTTAGAAGGACACTTGTGACAGCATTTAGGGCCCATCCAAATCATCCCAAACAATTTCATTACAACACTCTTAATCTAATCACACCTGTTAATATCTCAGTCATATGCTTTTCCACCCCTTATAGAAATAGTCACAGGTGTTCTTGATGATGACACAGACATGTCTTTGGGAGGCTGCCGTTTATCCTCTGTCTACAACAGGCAGTAGACATAAAAAATAGATGCAGATTGTCACCAGAGAATGAGCTCAATAAAGCCGGGAAAAGTGATAGGAGTGGCTGGGGATGCTGCTTTGATTGAAGGGGCTAGAAAGGGCCTCTGTCAGGAGATGACACTGGAGCAGAGAGACTCAACTTAAGCAGATGAGGAAAAGTGTTCTTGGCAGAAGTTAAGAGCAAGTGCAAACACCGTAGGACTGGTTGTACTTAAAAAGACTAGTGTTTCAGAAGTGTGGCAAGGCACAGGCGATTTGATACAGATGTTAAGATACTACTTGGTACACCCTCATCCCCTGTTGGAGTTCCTGGGTTCTAATCCTGGCAATGTTTCCCATTCCAACTTCCTACTACTGTGAACCCTGGGAGGAAGCAGTGATGGTGCAACTATTTGGGTCTCTGCAACCCACATGGGAGACCTGAACTGAATTCTTGGCTATTGGCATTCACCTAGCCAAGTTCCTAGAATTGATTTGGAAGATCTTTGCCTATCTTTGTTACTCTGCCTTTCAAATAAAAATAAATACATACTGCTGAGGTACAGGCCAGAGAGGCAGAATTTGGATTTATTCTGAGTAAAAAAGGAAGTCATTAATGGGTTTGGAATACAAGAGTAATTGATCTGATTTCTATTACCATGGATGCCGTGTAGAGAAAAGATAATAAGAAGATAATAGGCAGCAGGGTAGTGTAGGATGCCCATGTAGGGGGATGCTACAGTTTTAGCAGGAGATAATAGTCCGAGGATTAATTTGGTGGCTTTGGAGGTAATGAGAAGTTATTTGGTTTGAGATGCATTTTGAAGGTTGAGCCAATAAGATTTGCAAATTGAGTGAGTGTGTGGCAGGACTTCAAAAAATTTGTAGAAGCATGAAACTAAAAACTAGATTTATTTTTGTGCAAAACAACAGAAAGGCATGCATGATTTTCTCACAATATTCATTTTTATGTGATCTTTTTGAAGACCTCCACATAGGCAAGAATAAAAAAAAAAAAGAGCAAAGATCCTAATGCGATTTTTGACTGCATGAGTTCAAAGTTAAGTGTGGTCATCGACAGAGATTTGGAAGATGACAGAGAAGCAAATTTGGGGAATCCCCAGATCCCATTTTGGAATCTGAAATACCCCTTAGGTGACCAAGGGGAGATGCTGTGTAGTCAGGAGGATACGGGAGTTTGGTGTTTAAGGGGAAAGACGTGTATCTGAGTGTCACTGAAAGTCATCAAGGCATAAGTGTGATTAGAGAAGAGAACCAAAATTGAGCCCCAGAGTATTCCAAATTTTAGAAAAGAGGAGATGTGGAGGAAGCAGGACAGAGGTCTAGGAACTGAGCCAGTAAAGTAGCACCATGGGAATCTATCCACATGGAAATCAGAGTAACAAAGTGACTCAAGGAAGGAGTGATCAACTATGTCAAAAGCTGCTGGCAGGTGAAGGAAGACTGGGATTCAGGATTTGCCGTTTAATTTATCTCAGGGGAAGTTTTTAAAGGTCTTGACAAGAATGATTTTGATGTAGTTAGGGCCACAAAATCCATTTGAAGTGAGTTCAGAAAGGAAGGGGGGGTATTATACGTACCTAAGTTGGACGATTACTGTAATGAGTTTTGCTGTTGAGGGAGTAAAATGTACCTTGAGGAACTTTTTCAAAGACGGCAGATAGTAAGACATAATGCTGTTCTGACAAAATGATTCTATTGAGAAGCAAAAACTGACAACACAGGCAAGAAAATGAGCACAAAAGGAAGTCAGTGAGAAGGGTCAGAGGCCATGGCCAAGCAGCCATCATCAGGCGGGAGCAGAACAGGAGCTTCTTAGGACAGACGGGAGCGCAGGGTGCATGCGTACAGGGGCAGGGTTGCTGTAGCTGCTAATTAGACGATTAGCATGATCTTCAGATGGCTTTCATTTTCCTGTTGCAATTAGAAGCAGAATGATCAGCAGTGAATGAGAAGGGAATGAAAAAGCCTCCAGAGAAATGCATTCTTTTAATACTAGGTTTTCAAAAGGCAATTTGTATTCTGCACGTTCAGCACATCTTGATTTAAAAAAGGGGGGGGGGGTTATTTATTTATTTATTTATTTGAAATCCAGAGTTGTAGACATAAGGAAAGGCAGAGAGAAAAAGAATACGATATTCTATCTCATCTACTCCCCGAATGGCCTCTTTAGCTGGAGTTGGGCTAGGCTGAAGCCAGGAGCCCAAGAACTCCATGTGAATTGCCCACATGGGTGGCAGAGGCCTAAGCACTTAGACCATCCTCTGTTGATCTCTCAGGTGCATTAGCAAGAATCTCTATCAGACGTGGAGCTGCTGGGGTTGAAACTGGAAGTCATAGGGGATACTGGTGGGGGCAGGCAGTAACTGTGCCCCAAAGGCCAACCCAACCGCACAGACAATTTAGACAAGCCATATTTCAAGTAATCCGTAGCCAGCTGTACCCACTTGACAGCACAGGTTGAGAAAATAAAATAATGCTCATGGAGAACATTGAGGGTGCCTGGAGATTTGGCAGGGGGACATAAATTGTGATTAGTACAGCTAGGTGTTTTTCCCCAGTCACACTTAGAACTCATATGCATTCATATGCTGGAGGGTATGCCCTGACTAAAAAGTAGAGCTTTGCACACTGCATTTAAGCAAAGAGAAAAGGATAAAGTGATTTCTGTTGATCTTAAAATCAAAGGGTTGTGAAGGTTGGCCATGGGACAACATCCACAAAGTGAGAATGAGATGAGTGAGAAGTGTAAAAATGTGGTGGGAGCAATGGGAGTCCCTCTAGGGAGTGGAGACTCACAACTGCTTTGCAACATGCAGAGGGGTCTAGCATAACTCCTACCCTCAGCAAGCTCATCAGGACAGCAATAGCAAGCTGTTAAGCTGACATGTAATAGAAGCAGAGAAGGAACATAAAATATGCCCATGCAAGTCACGAACTGAAATGCCTCACCAACTACAATGCCTGGGGGTTCACGGAGGAAGTAGTAGGTCAATCAGGCCTTGAAAGAGGAGTCAGACTTTAATCAGTCATTGGGAAACGTGATACAAAGTGAGGGAAAAGCAGAAGCACAGACAGCAAAGCACAAATGTTTAATGTTTCTTGGAGGAAGGACCAAAAAATTCCCAATATTTATAGAGAGAATTATCAATTACAATTAGGTGGGTAAAGTCTAAATAATATAAAATACTTGAAGGAATCAATAGGAAATTTTTCTTGGAGGAAGAAAGAACTCATCACAAAATAATCATTTCCCTCGGAATATAATGTTTGCTAGTAGTGAGAGAACTCAGTGCCAAAGACTTGTCACAAGAAACAAATGCCCTTCACTTCTAGCACACCTTACCTACATACTCTAAGGGAGAGAGAGATTTCACCTTTCCTTCAGAATTCAGATTTCTGTTCACAATTCTTTTCTCAGGATATTTATTTCTTAGAAAAAAAAAAAGACAACATTTTTACTTTTCATTCTCTGATTCTGGAAAAAAAAATTGGAACCAAAGAGGATCAGAATAGATGAGATCAAAAAATCTTGATTACTATCAAAATTTTTTAGTAGTACACTCTCATTACACAGACTTAGCTTACAATTCTTTCAGAAAACCAGCTGCACATACATGCTGTCACATTTTTTGACTAAATTCAATGCTACTTCTACTTCAATTTTAAGGGAAAAGCAGAATTTCACTGTCCTTTGCTTTCCAGCATAATCATCATCGAACAACTGAAAATTCCATCTTTTCCCCAAGTGTGTGCAGAACCATTGCCAAGAAAAAAAAAAACACTCTTTCTTTTCCCATTTCTAAATGTTTAGAGAAACCTGCCAGTATGTCCACACCCTCCTTTAGTTCACAAGAATTTCCAACTTCATTCGCAATATTTAGAAACAGAGGATCTAGATGTTTCCACATGAGACTTTAATAACATTGTGCTTTGTATTTGCGTATCATATATCCTTGGTACTTCATAGCTCATTATCATGCTAAATTTACAAATCAGTTTATGAAAGTACAAGGTTTAGAAGCAACTCTTCCTGCCCAACAGTAAGTTATTAATGCCAAGACTGGAACTCATAATTACTGACACATGTGGTCCTACAACTAATGTTCACTCTCCCAACACAAAGTCCTCAGTAAGAACATCTCAATTGCTGAATATCCCAGTCTCTGAAGATAATTTAAGGACCATGCAGCTTTAATCATAGAAATAACTAGGTTAAATATTATAGATCTACGTTACTATGAATACAGAGTAGAGTGTCATTTGATCAAAACTAGTATTTAATAGGAATTAATACAATTATGTACAGCTATAATCTACCCCATTCCATAAGATGGAATATGTTTCAGAAAGCCAGAAAATAACACACTTAAAAATGTGAACTGCAGCTTAAAAAAAAAATGTTCACTAACAGGCTGTAATTCTGAAGGCTACAGAAGTGGCGGGTCTGACTGCTACATGTGCATCAAGTCTCCTTGCCTGGATACAAACATCCATTGTCCGCTGCTTCCATTAGGAGCGGAAGGTGTCCAGGTCTCTTCATGGTGCTTGCTGTGGTGTTCATCCTGAAGTCTTTACCACTCACACATCTGGGAGATTCTGCAAGATCTGTCTCAGGGATGCACAGGCTACCACATGGGCATCTGAAGGAACGTTAGCGAGGGACTGGATCAGCTTCTTGACTATGGTCTTCAAACACTGGTGCGCAGCACTCAAGTCTCTGTCAAACTTCTGTCCTTCAATCTGTAGAGCCAGGTGACTGCAGATGTTTCTAAATTCAACACTATCCTGAAACAAACAGGAGAGGAGACATAGGTGATGGGGATAGCTCTTGGGCTTTGTTTACATGACTCCCATTCCCTCTCCTTTCCAGTAATAGCACCCACATGTTCCCCATTGAGGGCACTCCTCTTCCATTCTCCTATGTGGCTTGACAAGGGCTGATCACACGCACAAATGCAGGGGCCAGACCCAGCAGAGGACACTAACCTGCAGCCACATGCACTGGTCAGGAATGGTAGGTGATCTGAGTCAGAGGAATAGGCCATAATACCAGGAGAGTTGCATAACTACGACTTGTGGACATCTTTTCACCATAAGAAGAAAATCTGAATGAGAACAAACCTAACACAAATGAGAGTAGAACCAACCAAGAGTATAACAGAAACAGAACTACATATTCTGAGCATGTGGATCTAGCTGTGTTTGAACAATAAACCTCAGCCTTTTGGTTCTCTCAGTTAAAAAATATTGCTTTTTCACCTGATTCAGTTGGAGTTGAGTGTGTGTTATCTGTTCCTGAAAAAGATATGACAAATATAAAAATAGCTTCTGTTCCAACTACTCCTTTGATCACTGTGTTCAAGATTATAATGCAGAATTTACTACCTAATGAACATGGTCTCAAGAAATTCCCAACGTAAATTTACAGGGTGGTTCCCAAACATTTAAAAGAGTAAAGTAAGTCAATACATTTTTCATCTCCAACCCATTGCAAGCATACTGAAATTATTCTACATCAGACAAAATGTTGAGTATGGGAACTTGTAACACAGAGAAGTGACTTGCTTTGAACTTGTGGTTTTAGAAAGAGGGCACACTTAGTTTCCCCAAGACCCATTTTGCTACTGAATTCCTGGACTTCTAAATAAAACAGAACATTCTTTTTTTCTGAACTTGCAAGAAAGTGGGAAAAATCCCTCAAGGCCCAGCAACAAAGGAGAAACAGAACATTTTAGCTGCCTACCAAAATCATTAAGAAAAGAAAGTCTTTCCAGAGCTAGGCTGGAGTAGAAGATAAATTCTCCACTGGAAATGTGTAATTGTGCATCTGTGTTACACAGTAGTTGAAGTTTGGAGCTGTTCTCCATGCCATATTCAAGGTCTGGGAATACCTAGGCTAGGAACTCAACAGGAATTTGAAGTGGGTTGAAATATACATGGGCATATGGCCAAGTGAGTAAAACTCCATCTCAGTAGAACATGGACACAGCCCACAGGCCACGGAACAATTCCCATGAAGCCATTGTTGAATAAAACTCAAATTATGAAATTTACAATAAAATCCACCATGATATAATACATGCAATGATGAATAGAATTAAATTCCAAGAACTTCAGATTGAGACTATGAAGTATGTTTAAAATTATCAAGGATATAACATCCAGAATTAAAAAAAAAAAGTCTTTAAAATGAACCAAATGGCACTAATGGTAAATTACAACCTTAAAGCACAGCTTAAATACCTGATTGAATACACATGATGTAATGGTTAATAACCTGAGCGCTAAATATGATACAGTCAGAACTGAGCCAATCTGAAGCCAGGAACCAAGAGCTTCTTCAGGGTTTCCCACACAGGTGTAGGGTCTCAAAGTTTTGAGTCATTCTCTATTGCTTTCCTGGGCCACACAAGGAGTTGGACTGAAAGAGCAATAGCCAGGACAACAATCAATGCCCATACAGGGGTGCTACTGCTTGCAGGTGAATGATAAGCCAGATGAGCTATTTGCTGGCTCCAAGGCAAAATTATTCTTAAGAGCCACCAAAAAAAAAAAAAAGAGGTTTGAAAGGATGACAAGAGAGAGAATGCTGACTTTACACAAAAGCTGAAGATAGAAGAAAATGGAGCCATATTCTCAAATAACTGTCTTCTGTAGAATGAGTTTAATTCTACTAATCTTTCATTTACAGCTATCATTATCGGGACAGAATAAATGCACTGTCACGTAAAGGAACAGGTGCCTAGCACTATTAGATTCACTGTTGATTCTTTTCAAAGGTATGATTCAGGAAGAAACTTTAGCTCAGAAGGAATGAGAGGCTAGGTGCAACAGCAAACAAAGACACTTAAAAATATGGTGTATATTTACAGGATGATGTTTAAAACAAAAAGCATGAGGGCTAGCATGGTGGCTCAACAGGCTAACCCTCCACCTACAAGTGCCAGCATCCTACATGGTTGCTGGTTCGTGTCCCAGATGCTCCACTTCCCATCCAACTCCCTGCTTGTGGCCTGGAAAAGCAGTGGAAGATGGCCCACAAGCCTTGGGCCCATGCAGCCACATGGGATACCTGGAAGAGGTTTGTGTCCTCTGACTTATGAGCAAGCACCCCTCTACCAGCATGAGACAACACAAATAGCCAGCTATTTCATTTCAGCCAACATAGGCAGCAAGCAATCCCAAAAGGACCAATATCATGTGTTCTCTCTGTTATAAGGTAACTTCCGATATAGGTAAACATGTGTATACATATATTCTTATTGATGAACTTTATAAGGGAGACTAGTATGCTGGGCAGTAAAGACATCCCTGTTCTCAAATAAAAGAAGGACTCCCAAGGACACCGCTAAATATGGTTTGACAATATGGTACTAGACTTTCTGCCGTTGTCTATACCTACAATGCCATGATGCACTTAAATAACAGAATATTGGACTTAAGACTGCTGCAGAAGGACTATATATTGTAATAACGGGGAAATTGGAGGGGGCAGATATGGAGGGGTGAAGAGGGGAATCCCTGTGCCTGTGGAATCATATCTTGAATATTAATAATGATAATAATAATAAAATTCTTAAAAGGGGCAGCAAGATCACTGTGTAAGCTAGGTAATGGGACAGAGCAATTACCATGCCTTGGGCACTATTCTCAAGAATGGTAGCCTGGAAATACTTGACTGCCTGTTTTTCTTTCTCTTTAAAGCACTGATGTTTCCCTGCCTTCAGAGACTGCCAAAGGGGCTAGTTAAATAACCTGTCCTGTAGTGTATAGGGTGCCTTGTATTACTGAAGCATATTGTTTAGGAATAGGAGAGCAAGGGAAAAAAAAATCACTCTGGACTGCTTCCTATGATCCACATCAAGGGAAATTGTCCACTTGCTTTATAGACGTAATTCAACTCTAAGTACAAAGTGTAAAGATCAAAGAAAACATGCAAAAGGAAATCCAAACTAGAAGGAACCACTGAAACGTGTAGTGACGTGTGCCCATTAGCCAGTCTGTGAAGGCAGTCATCACCCCACGAAGATTAAAATGCCTTTAAACATAGTAGTTGCAGGTCTAAAATCTGAAGTCAATTTCACATTTACTGTAAAGAATCAAAGAAGGCATCATTTGGGGGGAAATTACATGTACAATAAAATCCAGCGGTGGGACTGTACTGGTCTCAGAAGTCCTGGGCAAACTTCAGATCTCTGGCGAGCTTTGCAAAGTCTCTTTATTTTACTGTTCCAGTGCAGTATTTCCTCTTAATCCTTTCTCAAATATATTAACAGTCAAAGAAAACAAATTAATATGAATAGGCTTTCCATGGGACTCTTAAGCCAGGAGAGAGAAAACTAAAGTAGGTGATTGCTTCTCTTCCTTTCTAGAAGGCTTGAAGGTCAACTAGGGATCCAGTCACCATTGCTTCCAACCCAACCTCTGCTGGTTCTGCCGCAGATGGTGGGAGCCACAAGTTACAGTGTTCAGGCAACAGCATTTTGAAGGGTTCATGGGCTTTCGCTAGAAAAACAAGTGATCAATATTATCAGTGACTTCACTCACGGTGTTTTCCATTCAGTGACAGAGCATATACTCCCAGAGGCTTTCATTTAGCAAGTCCCAGATGCTTTTAGAAATGATGTAATATCTCACATGGTGCTGTGAGCACTAGGCCAGAATTAGAACTGTATGGCTGAGCAATGTAAAAGCAGGCTTTGGAACTGACACGTCTTGTGTAGTTTCAGACTGAGGCTAGGCAAAGTATTGTTTGCTAGAATGGTCCCATTTCTGGCTGGCATTCACATTTCTAAGTGAGTTGAGGGATGGGCCTTTGGCATAGCAAGGTGAAGGTGCTGCTAGGGATGGCCAATACCGTATCAGGGTGCCTGGATTATATCCCGGCTCCCATCTGGATTCTTGCTGCCTGCTGACGCTGATTCTGAAAGGCAGTGGTGATGGCTCAAGTCCTTTGGTTTCTACTGCCTGTCTGGCTCCTGGCTCAGCCCCGGCAAGGCTGTTGTGAACATCTCAGGAATGAGCCAGCAGGTGGAGCATCTCTATCTCTGCTCTTCAAACTAACGAAAATTTAATAAAATTTGTTTTGTTAGAATTGAGTTAAGGTATTTTGTCTTGACTCGACTAGTACATCAGGATAATAACAGCCTTGGCCTGTTTAACTTGGCTGATAGATTCATTAGAATTATTTTTTACATGCACAAGCCTCCAGGACTAGACCAATGACACTGAGTAAAAGACAGAAAAGCATCAGACCTAATCTCTAATGAGTTTAATAACCCAGTAGGGAGAATGAAACACACAGAGCACATACCAGAATGTCCACTGAAATATGACAACAGATATTGAAAAGCACAAAAATTCAATTCTCTGGAAGAGCAGACATTTATAGACTCATAACTCAAGCACAGCATAGGGTTCATACCAAATTGGTTATGTGTAAATCATTTTCATCATGTGCTGTCCAAAATCCACCTGAACATATTGTAGGAACTCAAGTTCTCAGGCAGAAATTCATTCAAGGAGATAGTTCTCATTTTTAAAGAATGTTTTCATTGTAATTATTTGTTGAAATCTTCCCTATGCAAAGTAGAAAAATGGCTCCCAAAGAGGTCCACATTTTAATTCCTAGAACCAGTGTGTATGTTACTCTCCAAGACAAAAATGACTTTGCAAGTGTGAGGACGGGTAACCATTCCAATGACTACAAAAACCCAGAAAAGGTCAGCAAAGCTCTTTCCTTCAAGTGCAGCCTGGCTGCCATTGGAGCTCTGGTTCTGCCCCTT